ATGGAACTTCAGCCCATACCAGCCCAAGAATATCCAATCTCATTGCTCATCCTTGCCACTTACCCCTCTCACAGCCTTTTGACCTTATACTACTCCTGCATTCTTTCCCCTGATCTTCCTGCTGCCAAAGATATCTCATTTCCCAAACGAAAAAGTTTTACCTAGCAAAGAAAACCATCAACAAAACAAAAAGAAACACACTGAATGGGAGAAGATTTTTGCAAAGTATATGCCTGAGACAAGGTTAATCTCCAAAATATATAAAGAACTTATACAACTGAACCCCAAAAGACCAAACAATCCACTTCAAACATGGGCAGAGGATGAGTATAGACATTTTTCCAAAGAAGACATCCAGATGGCCAACAGACACATGGAAAGATTCTCAGCATCACTAATTTTCAGGGAAATGCAAATCAAAACCACAATGAGATATTGTCTCATACCAGTCAGAATGGCTAGTACCAAAAATACAAGAAATAACAAGTGTTGGTGAGCATATGTAGAAAATAGAACTCCTGTGCATTGGTAGTGGGACTATAAATTGGTACAACCACTAAGGAAAACAGTATGGAGGTACCTCACAAAATTAAAAACAGAAATACCATATGATCCAGTAATTCTACTGTTGGGCATTTACCCAAAGAAAATGAATACATTAATCTGAAAAAGATATATGCACCCCTATGTTTATTTTTTTAATGTTTATTTATTTTGAGAGAGAGTGGTGGAGGGGCAGAGAGAGTGGGGGAGAGACAATCCCAAGCAGGCTCCGTGCTGTCAGCACAGAGCCCAATGTGGGGCTCAATCTTACAAACGATGAGATCATGACCTGAGCTGAAATCACAAATCAGACACTCAACTGACTGAGCCACCAAGGGCCACAGTACCCCTATGTTTCTTGAAGGATTATTTATGATAGACAAGATGTAAAAGTAACCCAAATGTCCACTGATAGATAAATGGGTAAAGAAAATGTGGTGTGTGTGTGTGTGTACACACACACACACACACACACACACACACACAAAGGAATATTACCCAGCCCTAAAAAAAAGAATGAGACATTGCCATTTGTGACAATATGGATGAACCTAGAAGGCATTATGCTAAGTGAAATAAGTCAGACCAGCAAAAACAAATACCATATGATTTCACTTGTATGTGGAATCTAAAAAAGTAAAACAACTGAACAAACAAACAAAAGAAAACCAAACACTTAAATATACAGGACAAACTAGTCGTTGCCAGAGAGGAGGTAGGTGGGGAACGGGTAGGTGAAGGAGATTAAGAGGTACAAACTTCCACTTAGAAAATAAATGGATCACAGAGATGTAAAGTACAGTGTCACTAATACTATAATAACTGTGTATGTGACAAATGGCAACTACACTTATTGTGGTGAGGACTGAGTAATATATAGAACTGCCAAATCACTATGCTATATGCCTGAAACTAATATAACATTGCATGTCCACTACACTTCAATAATAAAAAAATTGAAAAATAAAAAGATATTCCATTAATTGGCACACATTTACCAAGCACCTGCTATGTGCCAGGCATCCTGCCACAAGCTGGAGATACCAAGACGGCATTTCTTTGCTCAAGGGCTCGCAACGTGGTGAGGAAGAATATAAAGAGATCATTGTGTAACACGGTGTTGAGTGACGTGCTAAAGTAGAAAGGTTAGAACTAAGCTGTTCCCTCACACACAGACCAGTAGGTTAAGAGACTGTACACACAGCCCTTAGCATGTCTCTCATTCATTTCCTCTTTCCCATCCCTTCTGCTTCTGCTCCAGTTCAGGTTTTATCGTCTCTTAACTGAACTAGTGTAACATCTTCCTAACTTTCTCCCTGCTTCCAGTATCACTTTTGCCAACCTAACTTTCACTCTTCTACCAGAATGATCTTATTAACGGAAACCAACACATCTGGAATATAGTAGAGATGAATAAATACCTTTTGAATAAATAACATCACTCCGCTAATTTACAATTTAGTCAATTCCTAATTCACATGGGGGTACTTGCAAACTTTCCCACTGACTTGTCCCTATAAGAAGGGAAGTGAAAACACATAAACCCCCGAAGGTATTTTTCATTAAAATGCACAAATGCAAGATGTACGACTCGATAACATTTTACATTTGTGTAAACATATGTCCACCATTCCGATTGAATATAGAACATTTTCATTTCACCCAAAGAAGTGTTCTCGTGCTCCTTCTCAGTTCAGCCTGCCTTCCCAGAGTTAACCACTATTTTATCTTCAGTCACTATACATTTGTGTTGTCCCTTCTTGAACTTCATATGCTCAATGCAATCATATAGTTATCTACTGCGATTTACTTGAGTATCATTATTTTATATCCAGTCACCTTTCCTTGAGCATCTCAGCTAGAAATTTCCATCCCTGAGCTCCAAGACACCCAGGGGCCACTTTCAGGACCCCACAATCCATACTGAACTCTTTTCTTTCACCAAAACCTATTTCCTATAGATATCAATTAGAAAGAATATGAAGAACAAATTCTCATTAAAGGAAAGAAGGTATAGATACTGTATATCAAGGAAAATATTCTCATGATTACTACCTAAGAGGTTATACCTATATAAACATAGCTTTGAGGACTGACTAATCAGATAATGTCATCTTGATTCAAGGAAATAATTGCCTGACAATGAGCCATCAGAGCCAAAGATGAGCTCGTAATAAAGATACGTAAGCAAAAGGAAAATGTCCAGGAGGAATAGAAAAAAATAAGCAGCATCCACTGAGAGCTTATTATAGTGTAGGCAAAGTGCTAGCTAAGCACTGGGGATTTGAAAATGAATATGCCACACATTGGTCTAAATTGGTATTTTTTTTAAAAACTTTGCTAATGTGTGTCAAAAGCTTTAAATAAGGTTTATGTCTTGGTCCTAGTAATTCCATTTCTATAAATTTATCCTAGAGAGATATTCAAACATGAACAAAAATATGAGAAATACCCAATCTGTGAAAATTATTAAATAAATTATAGTAAATCCATATGGTTAAACATTACAGAACCTTTTTTTGTTTTGGTTTTGGTTTTGCTTTGTTTTGTTTTGTTTTTTAGAGGGAGAGAGAGTGCAAGTGGAGGAGAGGCAAAGGGAAAGAGAGGATCTTAAGCAGGCTCCACACTCAGCATAGAGCCCAACATGGGGCTCAATACCACAACCCTGAGATCTTGACCTCAGCCAAAACCAAGAGTCAGATCCTGAAATAACCCACGCACCCCACAGAACCTTTAAAAATATATATCGCATCTGGCTGGCTCATTCGGTGGAGTGTAGGACTCTTGATCTCCAGATTGTAATTTTGAGCCCCATGTTGGGTATAGAGATTATTTAAAAAAATAAAATACCACAGGATTTCACTCATATGTAGAATTTAAGAAACAAAACAAATGAACAAACGGGAAAAAAGGAGAGGCAGACCAAGAAAATAGACTCTTCTTTTTTAAAGACAAGGTTCAAGAATTTTTATTTATTTTTTTATGTTTATTTAATTTTTGAGAGAGAGACAGAGTACCCAAAGCGGGCTCTGCACTGACAGCAGTGAGCCCAATGGGGTTTGAACTCACAAACCAGGAGATCGTGACCCGAGCCCGAGTCGGATGCTCAAACGACTGAACCACCCAAGTGCCCCAAGAAAATAGACTCTTAAATATAGAGTACAAACTGATGGTTACCAGAAGGGAGAGGGATAGGTGAAATACATGATAGTGATTAAGCAGTGCACTTGCTATGAGCACCAGGTGACGTGTGGGAGTGTTGAAGCACTGTATTGTACGTCAGAAACGAATATAACACTGTGTGTTAACGAACGTGAATTTAAATAAAAAGCTTTTAAAAAAAGATATCCAACATATTGATAATGTGGTTACATTTGGGGAAGCCACGGGGTTTGGTGGAAACGTGGTCAAGGGAGATTTTACTATTCTTGGTATTTTGTTTCAAAAAGAATGCATTAATTTGGAACTAAATATTCATTTAGAAATAAACATTATTTTTTAAAATCAAATGGCTTTCTGAATACACCAACTAAGTTCTGCTATAAAGATTATATGGTATTTTTTTAAATCAAAACCAACTAATTTATATAATGAAGAAATATATGCCCAGAAGGCTCTGTACATCTGAACTAATATATAGCATAGTAAACATAAAAATCTTTAGCCAAATTTAAAGTTAATCAGTTTAAGTGTTGACTTAGTCTTGTATTGATTTTATGAGTAAGGAACTTAAGTTCTGTAGACATAGGCGTGCTCAAGTGAAAAAGTTCCTGTCTATTTTCTTGGACTTGGATGATTTTTACTGTTTAAACTGTTTGGAATGTAGTAGATCAGGAACTTGCCTTGTTGGTTTCAGTTACAACGGACATCATTACATCAGAAATTTTACTCGTCATTAACCTCTAAAAAAATTCAAACCTAGGAAAATTCCCCAAAAACCTTCAAGAAGGCAGGTAGGTCATAAATGAAAAAGTCAAAAAATGCTATTTTTTAGCCAATCTATTTCTTTCCCATAATTTTAAGAAGTATTAACTACTGTTAACTATCATGTAATGTTTTACCTTATAAATATGATCATGTGCAGTGAAAGCATTAGTTTATGAGAACACATACATAAATATTTTCCTTTAGGCTAATAGTTGGAAGGATTTTTAACGGTATTATTCTCTATACATTATCAATCTCATTTCATTTTTTTGTTTTTGTTGTAAGCAATTATATTTCAGGAAAGAAAGTAAGGGAGGGAATGGTATTTGGTAATAAAAAAGACAGCTAAACTTAAAATATTCTGTAACTAGAAGTTTTATGGTGAGTTTTTGATAAAGACAGTTACCTTAGTTTCCTCTTTCATGTCTTAATTAAGAAAATAAAACTCAGCTAGTTATTTCCCTTTTTATAATAGCTAACATAAATGTGCAACTTTATTACTTCCTCCCCAGGAAAGATTTAATTGTGGGATGTATCTTTCCTTCCATTTTCTTTTTTTGGGTAGAAATCAAAGAATGAGGATTGTCTTCAGTGATGTTTTTACCTTACTCTGCCTCTTGGGTGGTAAGTCATTAAGAAAGCATAAATCAAAAAGAGGGAAAATTATCTAAGAGTCTGCAGAATTACAATATCAGTGGAAGATGACCTTAAATAAGGTAATTAAGGTGCTTATAGCAAGGCCTGAGGAAGCACTTTTAAACAACTAGAGCTAACACTTATTGAGCATTTACGATATGCCAGGAACTGGTCTAAACATCTCATTTGTATTAATTCATTGAACCCTCATGACAACCTATGAGTTAAGTCCTGTTATTTCCCATTTTATAGATGAGAAAACTGCGCTGCTAGATGCCGGCCCCATGTTGCTATTGTTATCACTAGGCTGGAGCTAACCAAAGGAGGCTGGAAGCTGTTATAAAAAAGGCAAAGAAAATTAATTAAATCGAAAAAGCATAGACACGGGCCTTCTAGCACTTTGCCTGTTAAATGTGCTCTTCACCATCTTCCTTCATTTATAAAAGAACCAATAAAGGAGATAATAGGGCACTTCCAATTCCTTTTACAGAATTCCTAGGTCTCCTCAAATTATTTAGATATGTATGAAGGTAATACCTCCCAACAGGTATGTTCAAGCACCATCATGGGGATTCTCCCTCTAGTAAAGCGGTAAGATGATAACGAAGACAATTGCTCTGTGCTGCACCCAGGGTTCTTTTAAAGTCAACAAGATTTAATGGATGAATGAGTCACCTGGGAATCTCGCCAAAATGCAGGTTGGGGTGGGGCCTGAGTTTGCACTTCCAACAAGCTTCTAAGTGATGCTGGTGCTGTTGGTCTGGAGACCACATGTCGGTAGGGAGACTCTAGAACACATCCCAGAGATAAAATTCTAAGATTGAGACTTGGAGACCATGAGTAGCAAATACTGGGGTCACCAACTGAAATGCCTAAAGTGCTTGGTCAGCTAATATCTCTCTTGCATTTTACGTCCTTATACTAGTCTCTTGTAAAAAATGTGGACAGGAGCATATGAATAGGTGAAAGACCACATGAGAACACACCCAGTGTCTTGCATGAAAAATGATTTAGGGAGGGGACCATGTTAATTTTGCCAGATACACAGGGAAGTTGTGAGGGTAAAAGAAGAAAATTCTGCATAAATAGAAACCTTGAAGTAATGGGTGCCAGGAGGTAAGGAGTGGTTATTTAAAAGGATCATTGTTGGGGCACTCGGGTGGCTCAGTAGGTTAAGGGTCCGACTTCGGCCCAGGTCATGATCTCACCGTTCATGAGTTCAAGCCCAGCATCGGGCTCGGGCTGACAGCTTGGAGCCTGCTTCTGATTCTGTGTCTGCCTCTCTCTCTGCCCCTCCCCAGCTCGCATTCTCTTTCTCTCTCCCTAACTCTCAAAAATAAAAATAAACATTAAAAAAATTAAAATAAAAAATATCACTATCATCATGATTATAATATATATTTAAACAACTAGATATTATTTAGACTATACCTTTAAATAATCATATGGATGCTATAATAATATAAGCAATAATATAATTATAAAAATAATTACATATAATATATTACATATTATGTAATTATATTTAT